CCCCAAAACCCCAAAACCCCAAAACCCCAAAACCCCGAGAGAGTAAATTATTAAAAAAAGTAAGAGTAACGTAATGAATCAATAATTTATGAATAAAATAATATATAAATTTCAATTAGAGCTAGCTTGTTCTTGATTACATAAGGTATTACTGTGGTTTAGTGCATACAGCTGCTTTATTCTAACAATTAACTTTTCATTAATATTCTTTGGGAGCACTCAGATTCTGGAGCTCGTAATTTTACCACTTCATTCTTGATTGAATAGTGCCTGAGGAATGGCTGCTTACTACTTCTACTGTGGCTAGTATATTACCTCGTTAATCAATCCATTTCCATTAGTCTAGATTAGGCTGGGATAGCTGTAGGCAGAAGGAATCTGCTTGAGGTTCTTCTAGAACTTTGCCTTCAAAATCTCTAAGAGAGTTTGAATTGTTGACTTCTACTGTTACAAAGCAGCAGTGGATTCATTGTTGCTGCTACCCTCACCTAGTACTCCGCTGTTTTTCTTCTCCTCAAAATCCTCTTTCTTTGGGTTTTTCAAAAGGAGGTTCTTAAGATTCTAGATCGAGTCCTCTTTGATTTCAAGTCTGCGATCTGGCACTGGCATCTTGACTATATTTGGCATTATAATACAAATTAGGATTATTACAATTCTGCTCAAGAGGCTTGTCTCTGCCATCCTTAGAAATAAAATATAGATAGTCACCTTTCTGAACTACTTTTTCAATGTTATTATCATTCATTCTTTTTTATTAGACTTCATTGGGATCAAAACTAAGTAATTGTGAGTAATCTGTGAAACTTACTTTCTCAAGTTTGATTGCCCTCTCCTATCAGTATTGCTTGGAATAATCTCAGATGATCCATCAAAACCTGATCTCTGATCATCCTAGTACTCATTAAATCCCTCTTCCTCCATGTAATGATCCTCATCCTCGTAGATTGAACTCTCTCCAAGATTAGTGTTAAGAACCATTCTTCCATTAGGAATATTGTTAGTATGATTCATTCCCAGTACCTTTTTAGTAGGATTTGTTCTTTGATTTCCATTTGGCTGATTTATTCCTTTTCTGTTATTTGCAGCAGGGTTTCCACCATGATGAGATGAAGCCATAGAGTTAGAAGCGGAGAGTTAGGGAGCTCCCGACCTATTTTTCTGGAATTTCCTCTTCTAGGATACATTTGATGCAGATGATTACTGATGCTGCAAGACTTACTAGTTTTGAGGTAAAATCTTGATTTAAGTATTTGATGAGTTAATCTATGTTTGATTTTGAGTTTTAGCAGCAGCTTTGATGTTTCTCTTGTTCCCAGAAAGCTAGCTTTTCTTAGATTGATTTGATTTGGAAGCTTTCTTCTGGCACTCGGGACAGATGAATTCATAACTCTCTAGATCTGGGATTGTTGACTATAAATAGAGATTAAAACATACTGAAATAAATACAGGGTCAATTCCAACGCATTCAAAATGGTACCACTCATCACACTTATCGCAACCAATCATCTATGAACTTTCATCAGCTGTTCTGCAAATGCAGTAGAGCTTGATTTGCTCCTAAATTTGGTTGGTAGCCTGACCCTGATATTACTAGTTAACAATAATTTAAGGTTAAAGGACTTGTTGTGATTCCTTGACAATCTAGACATTGCTTGGCTTTGGCTTTTTATTGATGCTTTTCTTCAATTTGTTGTTAATTGTCGATTAACCACCATGAACAAGTGTACTTTGGCTTTAAACTTGCTAGATATCTCTCAAACTCTAGCCATTTGAAGTTCCTACTAGCTCACGGCCAGTATCCTTTTGATTGATTTATTTTCTCACGATAATGTCATCATAGACAAAATCATCATGATAATTGCCTGAAAAAATTGTGATTAAGCTGATAAAAACTTACTTTTGAAGCGACGAGATCTGAAGCCTGGCTCATTTGGATCATTTCCTCTAAAATCAGAGTTTAATAACTTGACTCCTAATGATTAAGATTTACCTTGTTTTCCTTTTGACGAGATTGCCATTTGTTGGGGTACCTTGACTTGACCCGAGAGATTCAACTTGCTTGCTGGCAGCTTTAGTCGAAAATTCGCCCAGAAGTAGCAGCTCCCTTTCAGCATCGGTCAATTCCAACTTAGTCGATTTTACTGTTCCAATTCCTCTTGAGGTTTGGATAGCCGATGTCTGTTCATATATTAAGTTAAATTTAATGATAATCATACAAATGAGCGTTGCTCTGGACCATTGCCTCCCGATTCCTTGGTCTTGACAATGTTTCTCTAGGATAGTCTTCTAATTAGCAATTATTTAGTTAAATTTACGAAGCTGGTTGAATAATTTAGGGCTAAGCATTGGAAACATGCGTAGAAACAGTTTCCTGGTGGTTTGCTTAGGCATTGACCTAGTTTTGGTTATTCTAGGAATCATTAGACTAGTCGCTCTTGTGATCGAGGACTACTTAATTTTCATTAGACTCAGTTGCACTCATATTTTAATCTTAACAAATTAAAATCAATTAATTCAAACTTATGCTTATCGCCCTCCCATTCCAAATTTATATCACTGGGGTTTTGGGGTTTTGGGGTTTTGGGGTTTTGGGG